GAGAGGAGGATGGCTCATGCACCTTACAGAATGACCAGTGATATATTTGCTATATCTGTGCTCAGCATTTCTTCTGTCACTCACCCCCCCCCCCGACTCCCCAAGCTTCCCAGTGTGTAGAATGGAAGCTCTGAATGGCTAAGAGACAAACCCAAGGTCATCCCAGGGAACTGGTGGCAGCCAAGCTGTCACTCTTCCAGAGATCAGAATAATATGTCCTCTCCCCTTCCAACCCTTTTGCTTTTGTGTCCACGACCAAACATGCGCACAGCTCTCTATCTTTTCCTTTTCTTCTCCCCTGTGCTGGATTTCCTGTCTGCTACTGCAGTATGTTCCCCCATTGATTTTGGGCAAAAACAGTGTGTGTGTTTCTTGTATTGACAGAGAGGCAGCTGGACTGCAAGGGTGAGAGTTGGGTGGAGGGGACTGGGTTTGCCAAGGTAAGGTAAGGGAGGGAAGTAGGCAGGATTCCTGACTTTTCCAGCAAGGTCCTGATAGGTTGCTTGGAGAGGTGAAGACCTAACATTTGGGGATTCTCTGGAAGAAGGGAGGTTCGGAATATGGAGAGGGAATCATTCTCTCGTTGACCTTGAACCAGCCTTGTCCCCCTGCTTCCACTATCAAAAATCCCTTCCAGGAGCAGAGATATGAATACTGTTTCTCCAGTTCCATATATTCTGCCCCCAGGCACATCTTCTGATAAATACCACCTTTCCCAGGGGACATAATTAATTATTTCTTCCAAAATGATTTGGGACTCCCAGAGCTTCTATGAGGAGGACCCATATAGCTGCTTCCTCATTGCTATGCACACGGTATGTGTATTTGCAGTCAGGGCATGGGGGTTGAGAAGGCATTGCCAGCCTGTTTTCCAATACATCCAGCATCTGGAAATATTACATGTGAGGTGATTAAAGCTCTGGATTGCAAATGCTACATGGGTTTAAGACAGTGCTATCAAAAAACCTCTCCCCATCCACTGCCTGCAGAGAAAGTGGGCGTTCCAAAAAACAGGAGCAGAACAGCAATTCCATTGATCCCAGTACTTCCAATCAATGCATATATCCAACTATTGGCTCTCTCCTTCTCTGGTCCTCCCTCTTCCCGTGTTTCCTGTATCCCTTGGCTTGCCCCTTCTCCTCCTCCTCCCCCCTCCACTTCCTGGGCACCGCACTGCGCTTCAAAAGGGATTCTAGGGTTTCTGTGCAGAAAGTGCTGACGGGACAGGAATTCTGTGCAGTGCAGAGATCCAGGGAGTAAGAGAGAAAGCGGCAAGGTTGCCCTGCAGAAGGCGCTGGGGATGGAGTATGAGTGTGTCCCCGTGTGTATGTGCCTTGATGCAGAGTGCGTGTACACATCCATGTCAGGAAGGAAGCCTGCACTGCACAGGCATGTACGATCTCTGCAGTGAGACATGTATGTCAGATGAGCACTGAAGCACTGTGGGGTTCTGTGCATCTGTGTGTAGCAGGTCCAGGTGTGCATAGATGGAGATGTGTGTATGTGAGTGTGAGAAGTGCTGTTGTCTAGACAAATCATGTTGAATGAAATCATAGCAGTGTGTTTGGGTACACAAGTGTGCAAGAGTGCTTTGCTATGTACATCAGAACAAAAATGTGTGAGTGTATGAATTTGGCTATCGCCGTGGTGATCTACATCTGTCGGGAGAGTGTGTATAATGTATGCCCACAGAGAAAATGTGTTTATGTGTGATAGCAAACAATGTAAATGGAATGTGCATGTATATGTATCTATTTAGGGGAGTGAATAGTTGTGCCTGGATGTGCTTGCATGCAGAGATTTGGTCACAGCCCAGCCTGCAATTAAGGTCGCTTAAATCTAAGTAAAATCAATGTATCCGCTCCTATTGAAGAATGAGTTGATTTGTACGCTGGGTAGCTTTCCTTGGAGTGCATCTGTACGACAGCAGATGTATGTATGTATGCAAAGCGCTCCATGATTTGGTATGCTCAGGGTAGGATTGGAGTATACTTGTCGGAACCTATGAGTTTGCATGCATACCCACCCTAAGGCTGGTATACCTACAGGCCTTGTGAAATGACATAGTATTCAGCAGATAAGTAGGATAAATGTGTTGAAAGACATTAAGTTGCCCATGGGTAGGAAAAAAGCTGGTGCAGGCATCAAGCGCATGTGTGTACATGGAAGTAGGCATGTGTACACATACAGAGCTGGTTCCAGGTTTTGAAATGCTCTTGGGCAAGACACCCTCCATGGGACCCCTTTCTCGGTGAGTCTACCTTCTTGCCTCCATTGCTGTGCTCCTAACCCTCCATTAGGAGCACCAGCGACATGGCTCCTGATCCTCTTTCTTATCACAGCTACCACTTGCTAGCTTGCAGAGAGACAGTGAGCAAATAGGCAAGGCCATATGCTGTTCCTCTTTTCAACGCCCCTGTTTCCTGACACCCCTGGGCCAGAGTAAGGGGTAGAGGAAAAGTTACACTGGTGAAGAGGAGAAGCAGCTCCAGGGGTTTTGTGGTTCAGGGGCCCTCAACAGGTGCTTGTCGTGTGCACCCGCGACGAAAGCCCCACGCACTTGTGTATAAGCAGAATAGGAGTGTGGATGAGTACATCCAAAGGGATACTAGGTCAGGAAAGCACATGGCTGGATGTACATGTATGAATGAGAGTGCCTTGCTGGGAGCGTCACCGTAAGGCCTGTGAGAGGATGAGTAACGGGAGCAGCCAACAGCTGGAGAGCTGAACATGGGGGCACATGGGAATGTGTCCTTGGCGACAGCTATAGTGTGTGAGGACAAAGCGTTTTGTCTTGAGAGAGCAACTGCTTATTGTCCATGCACACTCTGTGCTTCTTGAACAATTGGAGTCTCTGGGTGTATACCCAGTTCGAGCTGCAAGTGAATGCTGCATGTTGCGTGGCGTGCCTGTGTGTGAGAGAGCACACGACTTTGTGATGTCTTTCCTTCGGGGGGGGGGGGTGGGGTAGCAATAGGTGCCTAGAAGCCAACCATCCAGCACAATTCCAAAACCTAAGCAGAAACCCCTCCGCACTCTTCATTCATTAATCCAAACAGGCATCAGGATGGTTGAGAAACTCGCTGTTGGAAAAATGGCAAGAATTAACAGAATTGGGACGGAGTGGGAAGAATAGTCTGGTATCAAAACTTCCCGTTAGGAATTGAATTTTGTCCAGGCTCAGTTCTTAAGTTTCAAGGTGGTCCCCTTTCGCTTTCTTTGATCTTCTTCAATCCTCATTAGTCAATAGTAGTCGTAGTAAGATGGTGGTGGTGGACATTTATTTATTATTTATTTATTTATTAAAACATTTCTATGCCGCCCCTTGCTGAAGCCTCGGGGTGGCTCACAACACAATAAAATACAATAAAATACAAAAATAACAATATAAAATTAACAATGTAAAATAAATAACAATGTAAAAGAAGCATATTTCACCATTATGGGTGAAATAAATAAATGAAATTCTGTCCCAAAGTAACCCAAACTTACACCAAGGAAAACCAAATTCTGCGACCTATATACATCATACCATTGTGAAGAAAGTAGTAATCACCAGAACAAAAAGCCTTCATTCTTTAAATTCTGGGTGAGATGCTTCCTCTGGATGCTGAATTCTGCATCACTTATCAAATTCTGTATTTGCATCATGGCACTGCCAACAGGTGGAACCCTGAATCATGATTTTATTGTAATCATACCTTCTTTCTCCTCTAAAGAGGATTCCTAAATAGCAGCCCTTGGGAAGAGAGAGAGAGAGGGACAGCAGACCTATGTCAAAAGCCATCAGATAGAAAACCTGAGGGAGTTTCTGCCTGAGACCTTGGATAAGTAAGGATAGGAAATATTTATTTATTTTTTGATTTGATTTGTGGCTTGATATTAGGTCAAATGGTAGACTGGGATGTATTGGCTGATTCCTGGGTGATTTGCAGTAGCTTTAACAGTGGCTTCTGGCTCCTACTTTTTAATAGCAAGAACAAAAAGTCTCCCCTTCTACACACTTTCCTTCAATTGAGTATTAGCATTTCTTACCTGTAGCAATTCAGATCCTGGTCATCCATGTTCATGGCTCGTGAGATCCAGCAGGCCACTGGTTTTACCTGCTCCTGAACCACCTTTCCTCTGAGCTGCCATCATGACTTCAATTGCTGAATCTCAGGTTGCTAATAGAAACAAAGCTTAATTGTGCCCACTTTTAGGCTTGGCAATCCAGTGAACTGGCTTGTGTAAGTTAGTGCTCTGTGGTTGTGTTGCACACTGAGAAATGTAGCTCAGAAAATATCACAACTCACTGTTGGGTTAGCGGTGATCTGCAACGTTTGGCCCTTTCCACTTTCATAGGCCTGCTATTAACCATGCAGCAAAATGAGGTGGTAGAAAGGACTGCAGGTGTGTGTGTGAAGGGTATATTACTTCTGAGTGCGCCACTTCCTCACATTAAAAATAACGACATGGCTCCCTGCAAGGAGCAAACTAGCACATCAGTAGCTGGGCTACATTTCTAGTCGGGGACTTCACAATTAAAAAACTGTTTATTGGGAACAGCTTTTCTTTAAAGTGACCCTTCACACCTTGGTGGGGTATACTCTGCCCTGTTGCCTCAAACCTCAGGTTTGTTTGCTCATCTTCTCATGACTTCAGACGGGGTAGAGGGAATGAGAAATTGGCCATCTACTTTGGGCACACTTTCTGGAGTAGGTGGGGAAAGGGAGGAGGTATATAGTGGCCTCCCTTCATTGCATTGCCCTTGAGATTTGTTGGGCTGTGACCCCCTTCTTGCCCAGCCAGCATGAGCAGTGGCAGCAGGTTAAGGAGGCGACTGGTGAGCACGAGGTTTCTATTCTGGGAGAGCAGAATGTTTTATAGAGATGAGTGAACAATAATGCTTTTCTTTCCTCTCTTTCCTTGTTACACACCCTCTTCCCCCGTTTCCCCTCCCCATTGTCCCCTCTGTTGCTTTCCTCCCTGTGCATGTGTTCCCTTCTGCCTTGCTCCAGTATGTGGCCTTTGCCTCACTCTTCTTCATCCTCATCTCCATCACTACCTTCTGCTTGGAGACCCACGAGGCTTTCAACCATGTCGTAAACAAAACAGAGATCATCCAGTCTGAGAATGTTACCAGCATAAAGGTGGACTATGAGATGGAGACAGAGGCCTTCCTGACCTACGTGGAAGGGATGTGTGTCATCTGGTTCACCTTTGAGTTCCTCATACGTGTCATCTTTTGCCCAGACAAGCTGGAATTCATCAAAAGCACCCTCAACATCATTGACTTTGTGGCCATCCTGCCCTTCTACCTGGAGGTGGGCCTCAGTGGCCTCTCGTCCAAAGCTGCTAAGGACGTGCTCGGCTTCTTGAGGGTGGTAAGGTTTGTCCGGATCCTAAGGATCTTCAAGTTGACCAGGCATTTTGTAGGATTGAGAGTTCTAGGCCACACTTTGAGGGCCAGCACCAATGAGTTCTTGCTCCTCATCATCTTCTTGGCCCTGGGGGTCTTGATCTTTGCCACTATGATCTATTACGCCGAAAGGATTGGAGCTGACCCAGACGACATCACGGGCAGCAAGCACACTGTCTTCAAGAACATCCCCATTGGGTTCTGGTGGGCAGTGGTGACTATGACGACTTTGGGCTACGGTGACATGTACCCTGAGACTTGGTCGGGCATGTTGGTGGGAGCCTTGTGCGCCTTGGCCGGTGTGTTGACCATTGCCATGCCCGTGCCAGTCATTGTCAACAACTTTGGCATGTATTACTCTCTGGCCATGGCCAAGCAGAAACTACCAAAGAAGAAGAACAAGCACATCCCACGAGCCCCTCAGCCTGGGTCGCCCAACTACTGCAAACCGGACATGCAGTCTCCCCATCGGAGCAACCAGGGCGACTCATGTCCCCTTGCTCAAGAGGAAATTATTGAGATCAACAGGGCAGGTAAGGCATGAAGACATCCTGTGGGCAGAAAGGACTAAGGACACAGCATATGTATTTGGGTCAGCAATCTTTCTAATTTAGTATTTTTCAATGTTTTACCATCAAAGGGCCTCTTTCCGTATTATCTGTTGAGGAGCTGCTTGGGATCTGCCTCAGAAATTATAGACAGCGAAGAGGATGTTTGAACATCTTCAAGCATGCACTTCAAGAGTTCACATGGGGTGCTGGAAGCGCCCACTCCATGGCTCCCCTTGTGAACTGAAAGCGCACCTTAGAATGCAACGTATACCATTCTTTCCCAAACTTGGAACCCCAAATGCTGTTCAACTACAACATTCACGTTCCCAGATCACCAGCCATGGTGGCTGAGGAACATCCCCCAGCATCTGGTAGGGACCACAGCTTTAGAAGAGGCTGCAGTATATCTCTTTGTGGCTGTGCATTGCAGAAGCAGATTGGCAGAAGGAAAGCTTATCCTTCCAGAAGGTTTGTTCACCATTACCTTACTGAGGAAGACCCAACAAGCCTCTTGTGAACCTCAGACTACCATAAGTGACTTCTGACCTGAATTCGGCTTCAGATGACGGGGGGGGGGGCAAATTGAATAAGGTCAGAAATGCACCCCCCTCCATTGTATTCTGTCTTAAAGCTCTTACTGTCAATAGGTAAGCTTAGGAGAAGCATTTCAACTTTTTAGAATGAGGAAAAACTGCACAAAACCTAGGGAACAATCAGATAATCAGTGACAGGGGAAAGGAAGTGAGGCCAAGGGAAAGAATTTGGACTGAGATTTGGTCTCAGGGCCTGAGGTTCTCAACCTCCTGACATAAGAAAAACTGGATCAAACCAAAAGGCCACTTAGACTATCCTCAAGTTGTTGTCATTATAGTATTGCATTTATGTCCTGCCTTTCTTCCTTTTGCAAGGAACCCAAGGTGGCTACCCACAGTATCATAAGGAGGTCCACAAGCAGGACATGAAGGTCTTCCCCCAGCCTCTGGTATCCAGTGGTTAATTCCCATGAATGTGGCAGCTCCATTTAGCCATTGGTGGCCAAAAGCCATGACAGCATCTTTACTTTATTTGTTGTTATATTTATATTCAACCTTTCTCCCTATAAGGAACCCAAGGGGGTTATATAATCCTCCTCCTTCTCCCCTCCCTTTTATTCTCACAATAATCCTGAGAAGTAGGTTAGGCTGAGACTGGCACAAAGTCAGCCAGTGACCTTCATGGCTGACTAGAGACCTGAAAGCAAATCTCCTGAGTCCCAGTCTAACATTCTAACCACTCTGCCATGATTTGCACTCTTATCCTCCATTATACTCCCCCTTTAAAGCCACCAAACCCAAGGCCACCACATCTGGTAGTGACAAATTCAGATTTCTTTATATTCTCAGACCTGCATGAACTGCTAAACAGTTTCACTAGGTAACCCCAAATTCTAGTCTCACGGGGGAGAGGATTTTTTCCCACTGAAATAATCAATTTTTCTACATTATTCCCTGGAGCACAGTCTGAAAGCCATTGTTCCAACTTGATTTCAGCCCTTGGAATAATTCTGCAAGTGACTCATCCCTGATGCTTTGGACAATGGGCAATGCAGTCAGTAATATGAGGAACAGCCCATTTAAAAAAGAAATTCAAACGATTGCTCTTTCCAAACACAGGGTATATTTTTCTGTCACAAACCTTTTATTTTCCTTGACTGAAGGTTTGTTGAATCAGGTGTCCTTCCATTCTTTCCCCCTAATACAATCCCTTGGAGTACATACCCGTTTCTACATTTCCTGAATATAACGAAGGCGGAAGATTAGAGAAAAGTGATGCATGTTTCCTCCAAAAAGAGCAGAGGGCTTCTTTTCAGGGGACTCAGTTCACACATTAATCTGCCAGCTATGTAGTGTGCAGTAATGCCTCTCAAATCCTGGACATGTTTTGGAACTTGCTGAGTACAGATTCAGCATCCTGAGTATCTCTGCTGCATTTATTTTCTAAAGCATGTTTCTTGCCTGTGAGCTTTTGGAGATACATGGGGAGCACGTTATGAAATCAGAGAAGTCAGAGGGGAAGCTAAGTAAAGCTTCCCAGGATGGGTCTTTGATACCCCCTTTGCTTTATGCTTCCCCACAAGGAAGAGGAGTAAAATCATGCAAAACTGATAAAGAAAAGTATATAAATTATATTTTTTTGAAGCAGAATTTTTTATCCAGGTTGAACACAACACTGCTCATAATAATAATATGTCGTAAACAATATCAAGTCCCCATCCTTTTTATTTAATTCTGTGTTACTGTTTCAATCTGCTCATCTATCTAACTTCTAAGTTAAAAAGCAAGCTATAGTGTTCATTTCCTCTTCACAACAAAACCCACAGCATACAATTATTTCCATTGTACAAATGACTGAGTCATAATGCTTACTTAAGACTATACAAATGTCTTCATAGAAAAGAGCAAGATAGAAATCCACGATTGCCAGATCCAAGGCCAATTCCGGATCTGTTTTAAGGCAAAATCTAGCTGCCTAGCTCTAATATAAGCTCTTGCCCTTAACCTTGTGGGAAGGATTCCCTGGTGAGATTGAAGGAGAGCAAACTTCCTTGGTTTTTGGATTGGTTGTAGGGAAGATGCTAGAGATATGAGCTTAGTCATTTTGGAGCCAAAGCTTATTGAAATTCAGACAGACATCTTCCTTGTGTATGATGCCCTGAATCGGATTTATCTCCCATGCTGTTGTACTTGATGGAACCAAAATCTGTTGCCTTGAGGCGCTGTCTTACTTTACCTCATAGCAAGGCTCTTTCTGAACTGAGCCAAGATTATATCATGTCACATGAAAGAAAAGAAGTGGGGAGAATAACACCAAGCCTTGAATGGGGATGAGGAGGCTCCCACTGGATCTTGAGCAAGAGATTGGATATTCTAAGATTTAGCGTTTGGCAAGGCAAAAGGCCATCATGTTGGCAAACAAGACTGACTCTCCTAACATTCCTCCATCTTTTGTTTTGTACATAACAGTGCATTTTACCTTATGACACAATGTAATAGTGAGTTCATGATATAAGGTGCAAAGGGAATGCTCCACTGGACGTTAGGAATCCTCACCTCAAGTCTTTGTTCATCCACTAAGACACTGAGCAAATGAGGCCAAGTCATTAAATTTCATCCTTAGTTCTCCCAACTGTAATATGGGGGAGGCAATTGTTATTAGGATTCATATGCTAAACTGATATTTGTTGGAAGCCCTGGTACACTGATTTCCAAACCCTATTTTTAGAAACTTGGGGGCTTCTCAGAAGCTTAACAGAGGGTGCCTTGATAATCTTGTAAAGCTGGACAAGTTTATCAACAATTATCCACCTTCCTGTGTTATATGTAATTGCACAGTAAACTTTGAGAGCATTCTAGGGGCCCTATAGGCTGGTGATATCAGATATTGTGCTGAGACCTGATGTTTCAAATTATAGTCTCTGTGTGGTAGAGGTGAAGAATCCTTATGAAATCCACAAGGTCTTTCTCCACAAGGACCAGTTTTAGCCAAAATCATGCACCCTACAGGGTGTATGACTGAAGGTTTAAAGATATACCTACTAAGGGTGCCAAAACATGGTAAGGGGATGCCCAGTTTAAGTACTCCTGCTCCCCCATTTAAGTATAGCAGGATCTCAATACTGAACAATGTTACTATTCTTCTCATTTTGCTCCTGAAAAGTTCAGGTGCAGCTTGAGAAAATTTCAGTTTACATACCCCATCTCTTATGGAATAAGTGGACCCAGTAGGGGTTCCTAACACAAGAGCCTCCAAAATCCTGGAGCAGCTGGTGCAGCAGACTAAGGATCATTCTCAGTTTGTCAGGTGTGCTGCCAAATCCCAGTAGGGTAAACCAGCATCCTGCAGAGAGTGATCACACAGTCATGTTCCCTTGTGCACATGGGTTCAGCAGCAAACCAGTGGATGCTAGCCAGGTCCTCTGGAGACAAGAGTTTGAAAGCCACTGGCTTTCATTTCCCCCTCTCTCTTCTGCAGTTCCCTACTCTTATTTATGTTCTTGGTTGCTGTGCTGTTTCCCAACTGTGGTGTAAAACCTGAACATTCCATTGCAAGAAAAGGCCTGATTTAGCTGTTATTCAGGACAAGGCTATCTAGGGTAGTCCTTCTTGGCTGTAGATGAAGTTTGTCCTTCCAAATGACTCATACACTAATATCGAAGAGCCTGTTTTGGCAATTTGAGCCACTTTTGATTAAGAATCACTCTTTTTTCTTCTATTGATGAACAGGGATGGAGAGAAAAGAGAGACAAGGTTGGCAGCCATGCTGGGATTTGGGTGATTTAGAGATACTGGAACATTTTATTTTGATTTACATAAAGAATTGTTCTAGGAGCAGTTTGCAGAGGGAAAGGGGCCGAATTAGGACAAAAGGGCATTTTCCAAAACATATGCTGCCCTTCTAATTCCTCCTGCCTTTGAGCAGAGAAGGGCATGTGTGAAGATTGCTTGGCACTGCTTGATCTTGCAGCGATAAGGTGGTGACTTTTGCCTACTTTTTTACACATGGAAAAAGCATCCCAAATACCCAAGATGCACCAGGACTTGAGCAGCAGATGGGTCCCTCCATGAGCTGGCAAGGACAATAGGGTAGCTGGCAGGGAATCCCACAAGAGAGACAGTCATGCACATCCCCAGCAAGCCAGGATGCCTGGGTTCCCCAAGGAGGGGGGATCTGTGAGTCAGAGCTTCTCAGTTTGTTCAGAAAAGATTTGGAATTTTGGAGTGGGGAGAATGAGGAATGTAGAAACATGGCCTCTTGAGAATCTTTAGGAGGACCAAGTGGAGGAAACAGGTCCTAGGTGAAAAACATGGAAGGGCCAATACCTTTTAGTTTAGCAGAGTTGAAAGTGGGGAGCAAAAGATCTAGTTGTTTTGGGGCAGACAAGATGCTAGAAAGGGGTGACAGCCAAGGGTTTATAGTCTGAGGAGTATCTCACAGTGATGTTGGCCAGGGCCGCCATCCTTTTGTGTGATGCATGCGCACGCGCACGCACACACACAGAGTTCTGCTTCCCCAGCTCTTTGGTGTCTGCTCACCCAGCAAATTCTCAAAGACAGGCAACAAGGCAGAGGCAGCAGCGGGGGTGGGGAAAGGTTGCGTGCTGGAGAGCCCCCAGGGCTCACGGCCAGTTCCTGCCAAGCTCTTCAGCCCTTCCAGGTGCCCCAGGCCAGAAAGACCATTTGCAGCGAGCGCAGTGGAGGAGCAAGGATTCAAATAATTGGACAGGATCTTGGCTGTGCATCAAACATGGCAGAGGAAGGCCCATGGGGGATACAGTGGTTAGAACATCTCTCGGTGCTCTTAAGGAAACACATCAGCCACTAGATCGCTGTTCCCTTCCTCTCAATCCCCCAGCCAACAGTTGTATCTCAGCTTGTTTTACCTTGATGACAACCTTACATTTCCTGTCTGCATTCCTGATACCCCACCAAGTGCCTGTCCTTTCCTATAGCAACCACTTCCCTGAAACTCTTTCAGCGAGGGTTCTTCCAGATGGAGGGCTCCTAGCACGATAAATCAAAATGTATTGTGCAGCTGTTCTGGTTTTTTTGTCCTTAATGGACTTTTTTGCAGTAAGGAAAAAAGATGGAAGAAGCATTAGGGAACACAGGAAGGTTATGAGCGGAAGACAAGATTCTCTAGGCACCCTGTAAAATTCTGTGAATGAAGCAGGGCAATTTCACAATGAAACCTCATTTGGAAGTGCATTAAGTTTCCATTCACATTTCTGTACATTATATAGGTCATATTCCTTCTCACTTGCCCACCCATCCTATTTTAGTTGCGACCCCCCTTTTTTGAGCTCCATACTAGGGAATGCTACACATGTGAACAAAACAATTGTATCCCAAATGGCTCTACCATGAGGCATTGTGAAGCGTGTACCCCAGGTGGTGGGGACCATCCAGTGTAATAGAATATATATGCAATGTAATATATATAGTTTGACATTTTGGATTTTCTGTCAAAATAACTTTGTTGGACCCCAGTCCGTATTCCAGGCTAGTGTTAAAAGACAACTGGCAACTCCCAGGAAAGTTTTTCTGCAAAACATTATAACCCATCTGATTCTTTTTAAAGCAAAGCAAAGCAAAGCAAAACAGAGATACGTGTTTCAGTGCAAAAAAGGGAGCTCATGTAGTTAAAAAAAAGGTAAAGAAATGGCTGAGGCTGCCATTTTAATGCATCATGTTAGTGACTTTTGAAAAATCTAGATGAGTATTCGGCAAGCATGTATACTAAGAAGAAACAGCAGGAGTGGAGAATTAGCAAAATACTACAAAAAGCTGTGTAGGAATGATGAGCGGAATGTCACAGTGATACTAACATACAGCCTTGTCAATAGAGAGAATCCCAACTCCCTGAACAATACCATTTTGTTTACTGAATGCAGGGAGAACAAAAAGTTTGTGTTTGGCCTAGAGAGATGTTACAGTTTTGTTGTTTCTCAAAAATGAGAAGGACTTTTCAAGCTGTAACAGGGGCCCAGAATCTCTGAGCCGTCACACTTGCCAGTCCTGTGGTTTGGCCTCTTGCAAGGGAAATCCAGCCAGTTGTCCAGGCAATCCCAACTTGTTGGGAACCACACAAACACATCGCTTGTTCTCACTTCACCAGAACTTGTCAAAGTGACTTTGGTAGCATTGTGTGGTAAAGAAAACGTGATGCTAATTATTTTATTTAGACCTAGCTGGACCCCACTTGCAGTAGTTTGTTTACCTCTGGGCGGAACAGTTTAAGAAAGATATTGACAACAGATTTTGTGGAGAGCTACAGAAATGTAAAAGGGTCAAGAAGACAAATCATATGAGGAAATGCTGAAGGAACTGAGTAGCCTAGAGCTGTAGCTTTCAAACTGTTCCAAGGAATCCTCTGTGACATGTGGAGATTCCACAGAGATGTGCAGCTTTTACTCAGTAACACATTGATGTGGAAAAAGCCCCTCAGGGCAGGAACCATGACATCCACTAACTTAGGGGGAAAGACTGGGGAGATGACTGAATGCAAAAATTGCCAAGTGTTTGTAGAACATTCAGAAACAGCAGGAGCAACTGTTCATCTTGCCTGCTAAAATGCAGAATAAGCAGCAATGGGATTTAATTTAGGACTGACTGACGTTTCCGGTCAGTACAAATGAATGTGCAATGCATGCATAGTTGTTTATCCTTTGTTGCACAGGCTCGCTTAGACACCAGCGTCCGAAGAAGAATATCTGTTTCTATTGCATTTTGCCTGTACTCAAATGTCATTATTTTATGACTGGGCCAATGTGGTTCTTCTTGAGGATGCTCATTGCTATTTCACACATTGTGTGGTATGTGATTGTACACATGCCATTGCCATCTGATGGATCAGTTCCTGTGACAACACTAGTGTTGAAAAAGGTCTCTTCCCCTATGTTAGCATCATTCTCTCAGTTTTTAAAATTTTGTTTTTAATATGGTTTTTCAGGATTATTATCTGTGATAGCCAGTCAAGATATCCCCCATTCAAGTTATCAAGTGATAGTTGACCAGTGTCAGGTACAAAATTATCAATTGTGACATGTCTGAATTATTTGTCGTGCAAAACAAAATTAATATTACTTCAGACTATAATAAATACCTCAGTGACCCCCAAATGCCCTCTATTTGTACATATTTGGCCCGATAGCCACAGCAACTTTAATCAGCTACTCAGTTTTGTTTTTGTTTTTTCCAATTTGGTTAGTGAGCTGTGTTATAAATGCCCTTCCGCATGGTCTTTCTTTCAGGGCATTTCCACACTGCAGATTGGTAAGCAGTCCTAATTGTCATGGCTTGAAAAAAAATTAAGCAGAACGTTGTAAATGTTTTATTCGGGTTCCTAAACCTTTCATGGAACTACAGTTCTGAGTTCCCTGAGGGGAGACTTACATCACCAACCCGTATGGAGGGCCATTCTCTGTTCACAACCATATAATGACAGGAATGATAAATGTCTTCATTTTACTATCCTTTAGCCACTCTCACTATGAGGCAAAAGCGTTGCTAAATAGATAATTTGCATCAGTTTGAATATAGACCAGTGAAGCAAAGTCCTTTTCTCTAACATGAGAAGACAATTGATAATAATTTTTGAACAAAAGATTAATCTGGCTCAAATACCTGAAATTTTAATCTTAGCTTTTGAAGCTGATAATATAGAAGTATTCTAAGTCTCAAATGTAGGGCAAGCAGGTGAAGTATTACTTTGCCAAAGTCAGTAATATCAGTTTTTTTAAAGAAATAAAGCCAAGCAACCTGCCTTCTAGAATGATCCATTGTAAAGAATAGTATAAACTCTCCATATTAGAAAAATATCAATTTGAATTTTCAAAAGTAATTTTGAAAGAAAAACTTGAATGCCCCACCACTACCACACTCCCACCACACATTTCCACAAAATCCGTCACAGCTGTAAAAATATAAAAAGATCCCTGCTGCATAGCTAGCTAGTCCACCATCCAATTCCCCCAAACAGGACATAAGCTTAATAGCCCTGCCCCACTCATGTTCCCCTGCTAACTGGCCTAAAATAAAATGGTATTCAGAGGCTTTCAGCCTTCACTCTTGAAGGTAATATAACTAGCACTGATTGATGGTTTTATCCTCCATGAATTTGTCTTTTCCCCTTTCAAAGCCAACTAGGCTGACAGCTACCACTACTTCTTGTGAAAGCAAATTCCACAGATTGTATGTTGTGTGATGAAAAACTTGCTTCTGTTCGCCCTAAATTGCCCACTGTTTAGCTTCACCGATTGATCCAGGTTCTAGTGTTTGGGGGCTCCCTTTCTTCTTTCTCTACACCATGCATAGCTTTATAAACCTCTGTGACCGTCTGCCTTCTTTGACCCTTTGCCCCTTAAGCTAAATGGAAAGGAACGCACTGAAAAGCCAGGATCTTGAGGGGTGTTTTAACCTCTTCCTCTCTTTTTAAAAATCTTCCCTCCCCTTTCCCCAAATTCCTTCCTAGATTCAAAGCAGAATGGTGACGCGGCAAATGCAGCACTGGCTAATGAGGACTGCCCCACCATTGACCAGGCCTTGTCCCCTGAGGAGAAATCTCCTGTCACGCCTGGCGGCCGTGAACGCTACAACCGCGACCGAGCCTGCTTCCTCCTCTCCACCGGAGACTTTGGCCAGTCGCCCGACGGGAACATCCGAAAAGGTACCTGCACACATATCATTTCCACCTTGCCTCTTTCTGCAAAGGCATACACAACCAACTTGGAGCGTGTAGCCCACATGGGGCATCTTTCCCTACAACCACCACCTCCACTTCGCCATAACAAAAACTGGAGTTGCCAGCGTCCTGAGGTAAAAAAAAGATGACAACCTATTGTTTATTTAAATATAAGCCGAATATTGAGAAAAGCTGTGGAGGGGGGGAATGGCAGTTTGGGGAAACGATCAGGAGACAGATGGTGACCTAGCAACGGGAAGGCCTCTATTGCCCATCTTTGCCTCCCTAGCAACAGCATGCATTGATTAAGAAACAGTGCTCTCTAGTGCAACTTCCTCGTGGGCAATCCATGCTAACACAACCCATTTTGAGCAAAGTAGGTTCCTGTTGGGAGTGGGGAAGTACATTCTCCACCCTAGCAATCCCAGTTCCTTCCCATCGCTTTCACCACCTCTTAGATCAGCAGCTCAGCCTTGGTACACCCCCAGCATCCTTCTCCCATCCACCTCAACATAAGTGTGCTCTCGCCTCAGCTCTTCCTCTCCCTCAGTCTCCATTCCTCACCCCACCGTGTTTCCTCACTTATAATGCATCATTCTGTCCCATTGTGTTTAGCTGTAGTTGCTCTCTCCATTCCTGAGGCTATTTTGAAGGCCAGTGAAATAAAGGGTGGGTGTGTGGGGAAGGGACTGGATTGTAATCCTTAGGAGGTCATGCAAATGGTTATAAAACAGTAGAAAGCTATTATCTCCCCACCCTTGGAATAATTCTGTGAACAGAAAAAGTTAGGCTTGGACTCAATTGACCTGACCTCAAATCTTTGTTCACACATGGTGCAATGACTCACCTGTAATGGAAGTAGTAGTTAGCTACCTGCAAGCAGTGTTTTAAGGAAAGGTAATTCCAGCTTTGAGCTCTGGGAGGGATGGTTGTAAACCTAACTCATCAGCCAGGGGAGGCCCTTTATTACATAAAGTTAGATGCTCCCGAGATGGCAGGTGCTGTAAAGCACCAGCAAGATGTGGGAAGTTAGAGGTAGGTGTGCCATGAGACCTGCCTTGTGTCCCCTAAGCTGGCTGTCTACCTTCAGGTGCCATGGAAGATGCTATTCCATTACCGGTGTTGGAGTAAGACCCAATGGCAGGCTGGTTGGCCTTTGCACACGGCATAGGAGAGGGTGACCATCTTGTATTTTACTTCAGGCACTGAATTATTTTGTTCATGGTGTGATAAGAGCTAGCTGTTTGATTATTTAAATAACCATGGCAGTACTACTGTAAAAGTAAATAAGCTGCCATCTTAAGAGTGATCTGTATGTTGTGTGCTTTTTTGCCATTTTTTGTTCCAGTGCAGCCTTAACAGACCCACAACAACCCTGAGTTCAAAAAGTGGTTTGAGAATTCAGTACAGAAGTATATTAAATTAGAAACTTCCACATATATTCATACGGGAGTGCTTTCCACTTCCCCAAATTCCCTTAAAGTGTCAAATTCCAAAACTGTTTCATGAGTTGGGTGAGTCTAAAGAGAGCTTTGTTGCAGGATTGCAAGCGCCAGCTGTACTTAATGCATATATATTGTATGCATACATATTTCTTTGGACTCTGGCCTAGTCTAGAATTTTAATCTTTGTCCTGGGGAACCACACATTCTTTACTTTAAAGATAACTATTCATTATGTCAAATATTCTGAGTATTTTGTCTAGAATTGGGCAGGCAAGCAAAGATTTGTGTGTAGATTGGTGCATGATACAGCAAGAAAAGGCATTTGGGTGCTCGACCCTGAACACTGAAAACTTTCCCCACAGCAGACCCCAGTAATTTTCAGACCTTGGCAGCCTGGGTCCCTGCACCTTTTTGTGTTTTAAACTCTCCACAGAAGACCAGAAATTTGCATTTCCTACAGAAAGGAGGCCAAAAGGAAGCCCATTTCAGATCTTTAATCCCACAGTCAGTGTTTACTGTTAGGCTGAAGGGTTTTCACAGTCATTAACACTGATTATGATTACTGTTCAAATATTCCATTCCTCCCCCAAAAACTCATCCTTTTTAAAAATCACATTTCAATCTTCCTGATTGTATATACAAGACTAGTTTGGATAAGATAGTATTTTACGTCTAGTTTACTGCTGTGATTTACGCCAGGGGTGGAAGGGTCTTACAGTTTTAGAATCTGTACTTTAACATTGCACTGATATATCTGATTTTCATACTGTTGGAAAATTCATCAATCATTCTTAGAGGAACTGGACTACTGGTTGCCATCTTCTCATTTGTAGTCCTCTGTTCTAACATAGGTGAGAGCTGGTCTCAGTTTTGCCCATCTCACTGCAGAAAGGTATGGGGGAACATGATCCCTCTGGACAAGAATCAGCAGCAATGTGCTTTGTGTGTTTTATAACTGCTGGTCTAGCATCTGTCAGAAGCTGATCTTAGCAGCAGGCATCCTCTTGAACAGGGACAAGGTTGCGCCTGTCACAGCAGGCGAACAGGAGGCTGCAGCAAATGAAAGCTGACGAGGTATTTACTTCCACCAAGGGAGAGAAAACGACAGATGTTTGAGGTGTTACGCAGCAGGGAGAATCAGCAAGAAGCAGGCCAGGCACAACTACAGAGACCTCAGGGGAGGATTGGCTTGTCGACTTGCTGCTTGTCATTGGACCCAAATCTTAACCATCGTATTTCTGGTCCACAGACTTTGAGAAATCAAGTCGGTCTTGATATAGGTATAGGAATAGGCATAGGTATAGGTGTGACATAGTTTTACTGCAGTGCTTTCTGCTGGCATTACAGCATGCAGTCTTTTTGAATTTCACAGAGTTCTTCATCAAACAGAAATAAGGCTGTCACCCTGTTAAAGAAATCTTAGTTGATTAATTAAATCTGCATTAGTTTTGCATGTGAATAAGTAATAGATTTATTAAGTTTTTTTATTCAGATAATGCCTTATGTTTATGGTGCACAGATATGTCACAGCAAGCTCTAGCTTAGAAAAAGCATTTCTTCCTGTATGAGAATGAAAGATGGGTACCCTTTCTAAGATAGTGGTGCGGCTGCCACCTCTAATTTTTATATTAAACTGGTTAATTTTTAAAAAAAAGAGTCTTGTCTTTTAAGTCAAATAAAATTTATTATTTATCAAACTATTGAGTATTTAGAGGTTGCAGCTTTGGGCACAACTGATCTTTTGCTTACTCTTTGCAACAGGAAAAGAAAGCCAAGAGGAGACTTCCAGGTGCACAAACTTATTTTTTTGTTGAAATAAGTATGTTTTACACTGAGTTCTTCCTTAGGAGTATTCCTGAACAATGCATATCAGATCTACTCAGCTTACATTCTCACAAAATAATAAGTTTCAGGATCAAGCATGGCTCATAAAAAGTCAAGTGAGAATCTTTGTCTCCTAGCAATGTTGACAAGACAACAAGCCTAAGTCTTTCTGGCCTACGTGAGTGACCATGCAAAAAGCAGAGCTCTCACAAGATTAAAGAAAGATAATTAGCTGATTTTTAATCAAATACAATAAATATGCATGCATCGGAATTTGAGTAAAATGGTAGTCCTGAAGAAAGAAGCATATTTTGTTTAGTTTTATGAAGTATGCTTTTGTTGTAGCAAGTATCATCTTAGAAGAGAGAAGGGAATACCTCTTTCCAGATGGTGCTTGCCATCTGCAGTTTTTATAAACTTGCATTAAAAATCACATACACATATAGAGAGATATTTAGATAGATACAAGTACACATACACAATCTGCTGTTTGATTAACCAGGAAACCTGTTTAGTCAATAAAAAGGGTTAAAAAACTATTGATCTACTTGATTATCAATTAAACATCACAGCCCTAGTAAAACTTTACTAATGTGCCTGGTCTGCTAGAGTTCCCTCCATTAGCCATATTCTGGTAACCAAATCCCTCATGATATCCTTACAGCTGTCCTGTACATGTTTTCTCTGAATTAAGTCCTACTGAGTTCAACTGACCTTACTTTTAGGTAAAAGAGTATAGGGGTGCATTCTTAGGGTACCCTTTAATGTCTTCAGTTTTTGAACCAGAGCTTTATAGCTGTTCATTCTGCAATAATGGTCAATTTATCATGCTTAGCTCTGTTCCAGAGATAGTTTAATCTGCAAGACTTCGGTATATAAACCTGTTAAAGGGACAGGCACAGTCCAGGCAGTTTCTTCTCTTAGTTAATAAATAACCCTGCCTGTTAGTTCAGGATCCAATATAGCCTAAGATCCTGACACCCAGCAAAAGAGTGCCAAAAAAAAAGTCAGTCTAATTGCAGCTTATTTTCAATGACTCAAGAACCAAAGTGTTTTGTCCAACTTCATTGTCATTTGCAATCAGCAAAGCTGTGATTTTTATTCCTGGCCTCTTTTTGTCCTTTCTCTCCTTCACCCTTCCCTGCCCAGCACTGGGGCTTGATCAGAAGCACAGTGTGACTTCTCAGCATGCTTAGGGCTTAATGCTTTAAATATCTAGTTGATTAATCAATGAGGACCAGTATTAAAGGGGAGAGAAGAAATTTTTAAAAGGCATGTTTGGTACTGAAGAACTGTTTTTAACTGTGAGAGAAAAAGAAAATAGTTCTACAGAATTGTGGAAGGCAATTTTTATAAGAAGTACTTTTCTGTTCCTGAATGAGGAGTTGACTCTTCTGATTCCAACTGCCCTACAACAACATAGTTAAACTGGATGGTCATCTTAGTTATATTACTGATATGTTAAATTAAATACATTTGCACACATATTCATACTGAAAAACAGCAGCAGTTTTTGGATGATAAGCTTGTTACATCATCTAGAAGAACCATTCCTTCCCTTTCTTGAGTATGCATTTTCTAGGATGGTGTTGGCTTTCTGTGATCTTCTTAAGTATTTGCATTAAAAATAATTCTGGAAAAAACTCAAGTGATTAAAATATTTTAATTTTAATTCTTAATTTAAGAGACTACACTGCAGTCCTGTATGTGTCTACT